CGAAAATCCTTACGAAACCCATTATGTGTGTACAAAAACCTGCAATTTTTTTAATAAGTTAGCTAATTCAACCATCTGAACTGTCATCTTTAATTCCGGAACGCGTTCCTGTCCAAAAAGGAAGTACCGGATTATGTTCTGGAGCGTTCCAGCTCAACAACACCACTGAGAAAGACACTCACACATACACACATACACGGCACACACAATGACACTAGGATAAAATATAAATACATGTATGATATCAATTATTTTCATTACATTAATCATTAATTAATTCTGCCACAGCTATCAATGCGTGAAAGGCGGTCAGGACGCGACCAGGGAAAAAGTGAAGAAGCAGTTCGAGTCCACCATAGACTTCGTTGAGGACTACTTGTGTAAAGACGTGACTAGGACGTGGTACTTGAGCGACCACGACCAGAACAAGTTGACCTTTGAGGTCGTTAAACTGGCTGGAGAATTAATTTACTTTGGGTTTTATAGGTAAGATATTGATTTGTAGTTAAACAAATTCATATAAATATTCTTTTTCAATAAACTGACTTCTACTTCATATATATGTTTTAGTCTCCGTGATGATAGTACTGACGCTAAAATATACTAGCGATGTGTTAAAATACGTATTGATATCGAAAAACTATTACTTTGCTTATATAGAGCAAGATAATGTTAGTGAAAACACAATTAAGAGAGGCTATAGTTTGTGAGCTGTTAATATTGTGCAGATGATTATATTAAAGAATTATAATACCATGATTTCTCTAGTTCACTTCATTTGTCTATAAATCTATATTTTTCAGTAAATAATATAAATTTGTCCATAATTTTCTAATTTAACACAGCTTCAGCGATCTTCTTCGGCTGACAAAACCTTATTGTCTTCTTGACTGTGTGACTGCGATCGATCTACTGAACGAAACGAACGCCCTCGCCGGAGAAGTGGAATGTGAGTTACATTAAATATAAACTAGACAAGATATACAGGGTGACTGGTGAATTACTATCAATATTTAAGGAGAATACTCGGTACATGATTCTCATTCGAATTATGCAAAAAAATAGGTACTTAATTTTTGACCAAATTTCCGTATAAATAAATAAAGTGTGGCCACGTTCCAAGTGTTCCAAGTGTGGACGCGTGCGGCGGCGTGCTGATACAACACCACGCCGCCGCACGCGCGTGTGTGTGTGTATACCTAATCTGTAGGGTGTTCACACGATGCGTAATTAATTACATAACTTTTGGTTAACTTTACTAAGAAGTTTATTAATATTTATGTTATATTAATTTTTATTTTGTCATATATGATCGTCAAATATCACGTCCTCAAGTATCGATAGTAATTCACCAGTCACCCTGTATATACATAGGTTATTTATAAACATGTACGTACATCCTAAAAGATATATGTAAAACATTAAAAAAGTTAATTAATATATTTATTGTATAATATTCAATTTATGTTTATTTTAAAAACTTAATGTTACACGCAGCTGAGGAAAATGAAAAGAAAATATGTGAGTAGTATAGTGCAGAATAACTTTAGAAAATTATTACACATACTTGCCCTGGCCAAAAATGTTGTTATTTTTTAAATTTGGAGTCTATCATCTTTTTCCCGCCAATTTATGTAAAATATTTTTTAATATTAAAATAAGGATATACAGAATACTGAATGACTGTTAGTTTTATATAAAGTAGCCATGTAATCAAATACATTTTGTTAAAATCTAACTTGTAATAAGGAAGAACATATAAATGTATATATTTGTCTGACCAAGATTTATATATTTGTTGCAGCGGAGGGGGAAGTTCTCCGGAGTATTGGCGATATGAGAGCAGTCATGACCTCCATCACACTCGGACCTGGAGCATTAAATGTAAATGTAACAGAAAACACATACAAACTATATTAAGGTCAGAACCAATTACTAATATATAACTCCAATAATATTCACTTAGTTTGAAACCACTGTAAGAACAAAAAATATCTGCATTTTTGACCACAATACTCCCTAAAAAACTTGTTTCTTACTGAGATTTACAATTATTTAGTCGATTTATATATAGGAATGTATGTTGTTATTTAGAAAAAATATGTTTTTAAGTGTTGATTATACTATAAAGGATAAATCAAGACTCAGTATTTGCAATCGAAATAACCAAAATGTGTGTTCTATTAGCAGGTGGTGGGCGGAGGGGCCCGTCAGCCTTGGCCCTGGCCCGGAAACATCCACTAGTGATGGAGACCAAGCTGAAGATTATAGAAATACTGCAGGTACGATACTAATAACAGCTCTGGAGATGTTACAACAACCGACACACATACTCAAAGCAAACGCACTCTTAACTATTTATTTATTTTCTTTGAAAAACAAACTTAACTATGCAATTTACAGTAAACGTTGATGTCCACACTAGGCTAGGCCTGTATCGTGGAAAGTTATACTCTAATTCTTAATTATATTTATATAGATACTGATCTAAATGTTCGAATGAAACTATTTATTTATGATAAAATCAAGTGTAGTAAAACGAAAATATTGGTTTATTTAAATGAATATTCACGAAAGTCTTAGATCTCAGTATGATTAAAAGGTTCTTCAAAAATTTGTATTGTACGGCTAAACTAACAATTCTTGGAAAGTCTTTACTGTTTTACAAGTTTAAGAAAAACGTTTCTTCAGCTTGATACTACTATTATACTGACCAAAATAATACATTACTATGAAAGTGACCCAATATATACAAGAAATATTCTCCACAGTTTATCCTGGACGTTCGTTTGGACTACCGCATCAGCTGCCTGCTGTCGATCTTCAAGAAGGCCTTCGAGACCTCCTCGCCGGACGCTCTCGGTCGAGTGGACATGGAGGCCATAGGACTACAGGCCCAGGTTATCTTCAGCTGTCGGTATGACACACACACACACACATACATACATACCAACACCGACTAGGCGAGAAACAAATACAAAGACCATTGTATAAGAAAGTCATTCAACTTAAATTTTAACTCGAACATGTATAAAGAAGATCATTCTTTTTAGGCCTTTTTTAAAAGTGCCGGCCAACAAAAAAAAATGGTACATATTTGTAGAACTAACCATTTGGAACAATAGTTAATATGGCGCAAAAGTTGTAGGATCCAAGATATAGAAGTTATACAAGTTTCAAGATTCATCATTTTGGTACTTTATTTTTTTCTGAAAGTGCCAGGAAACATAAAATAATGATTGATATTGCTAGAGTTAAGCTTCTCAAGCAAATAATTATAGCCATAATCTGTTAGAAACCTGTCGTTTTTATGTAATACTAGCGAACCCGACAGACGTTGTTCCGCCAAGTATCTGAACGCATGCAACACATTTCTTGATGATTTTATTATTTGTCTAACCTAATATGTATATCGGGGTGCCATTTTTATATATTAAAAAAATGGGCCTAGAAGCACTCTTAACTGATTTTGTACCATTTCGGGTCGGATTTGATCATATGACGCGAGAGCAAGTGGCGCAGAGGAACCTCATAGTGCCAGAGCGATAATTTGGTAATCCTAATAGTCCGATTGAAGAAAGAAAGGCCATCTCTATACTTGATGGCACTTACATATATTTACGGAAGAGCACTAATTTCTTTTTTCAAAGAAAATCTTATAGCAACCATAACTTTCGAAATCTTTTAAATACATACTGAAATACATTTCGAACAATTAAGGAAATGTTAGAATAAAATAGTTTGTATGTTACGCATGTTTTGTCCCAAGAAGCTTTAATATTTTTTGCGAGAAATAAAATCCTCATTACTAGGACTAACTAGTGTTACCTCTCCAACCGCAGCAAGCGATATTACACTTTACAGCTATTACAATAAAATCGACATCCTATTATCGGAAAGATTTAAGTTATTGTGAAGTGTTGTTGTCTGTATAATTCTAACCTTTGTTTATTTTGATTTAAAAAACCCGTTACCCGAAAAGAGATTCTTTTTTAGGCATAACGCTTATAATCCTATTGCGATTTGTGATTTTCTCATATGATATTATATTTTAAACCTTAATATTGATACAATAAGGTTTAAATTTCAGAGACGGTTTAGACCTGGATGCTTGCGGCGGTCGTATGGTGTTGAGAGTTCTGCTGCAGCTGTGTTCCCAGGGTGCTTCGGCCAGTCTCGTTTCAGGAGCCCTAGCGCTGCTATTCCGTCATTTCAGTCAGAGACAAGAAGTTTTGGAGGCTTTTAAGCAGGTCCGCTTTATAAATTAACCTAATTAATAAAAAAATTAAGTATTACCCGCAGATTTCCGGGATGTAAAGTAGCCTATGTGTTATTCTTGAACGTCAGTTTTCTGTATACAAAATTTTATCAAAATCGGTTCAGCTGTTTTAGCGTGAAGAAGTAACAAACATACACACACACACTCACAAACTTTCGCAATTATAATATAAGTAGGATTAGTATTATATCAACATACCTTAGCATATTAAACAACTGTACCGTTATTCGAAGCCTAATTATATATATATGAGATATGCCATCGCTTCCGTTCCATGTTTTATCTCTTTTTTCCTTTGTTTTATCCTTTTCTCTCCCTTTCTTTCAATTCCACCACCACCACCAAGTGGCGCCATCCGAGTTAACAATATAATGGCGCTGACTTTGCTCGTCATTACGTCGTTGTTTTTCGTTCCATAAGGTTCCAAAGTGAGAAATTTAAGAGTGTAAAGTGTTGTTAATGTGATTATTATAGTGCATACGACGTCCGAGGTACGTACTAACTTTTAATATTAACTATAATGTATTTTGCAACAGTAAAATAAATTAAATGTTATAAGATAACTTCTTTGAATATTATAATACTCACTTTGGATATAAATACCGTTAAAAACGTCTTTTTTGAGCGTATTTATGATTAATTAAACGGATTTTTCCGTTCGTAATAAAATTTTTTATATACCCTCATATTACGTTATAAAATATATTCTTTCTAGATTAAAATGAGTGACACAATAAATCCAGTAAATTCAGACATAAATAAATTAGAATCATGCCGGAAAAGAAAGCAGGACAAACATCGCGATGATTCGAGCTCATCTTCTAGTAGTAGTTCGATGAGTAGTTCAAGTGATTCTTCGAATTCTAAACGGCGTCGCCGAAATAAATCTAAAAGACATCGCAAAGATAAGAAATTAGATAGATTGTTTAAGGAGGTCAATGATCTTAAAAATCGATTGAATAATAATGAACATAATAATGAATATCGTAGTTATCAAACACCTAGCTATATAGACGACAATGTAAGTCGTCAGCTATATGAAGACAATGATTGCAGTGATCCAGAACCCCAATTTTCGTTAGCGATTAGTACTAAATTAAAAGATCCCGAAATTTTACAAACACCCTCATCTTATTTAGACATTTTAAAAAATGTTCAATGCTTTGGCGATTCACAATGGCGAAATGTTAGGTATTCGGATGTGCAGAAAAATTATCGTCACTTCCCAGGTTTTTCTGAATTAGAAGCAAATGAAGAGCTAAAGCAATACGATAATAACCGATTTCTTTTAAATGCCGACAAAGCATACGGTTCCTTGAGTTTCGCTCTTATAAAACAAAAAGATGTTCTCGAGAAGGAGCTTCGAAGCTTTTTACTATGGGTAAAAACGTCCCCTGATTTATCATTTATTGAAATTAATAATAAAATTCAAGATATTTTTGTTACTGGTGATTTTTCCAAGATTTCTAACGATGCCCTTCAGTTGGTCTGCGGCCACAGGGCAGAGATTATCCAACAACGCAGAGAATCAATTTTAGCTTCAGTTAAGGACCCGTTACACAAAAACACATTGCGCAGCATTCCACCGTCGTGTCAAAATCTTTTTGAAGCTGAAAAATTATCATTAGTATTGGATAAAGCAGGTGGTGTACGTAAAGTGTTTTGGCAACGTACAAGAGATCGCGCTTCTGTACCACAGACCGATCGTCAAAATATTGCGCCTCGTATGGCACAACAGCAAAATTCATTCGCTTCAGTCTCGAGAAGAGGTGGACATAGTCAAGTATCAAGGGCTACCCCTAACAAGCCCTTTCGGGGCAGGGGAAGGCAAATTACTACCCAACGTCAAGGTGAGTCAACATACGAATATCGCCACGAACGTAAAAACTCTCCCCCTTCCCACCGGGATCGGAGAGGTAGAACAAGAAAGTTTTGACTCACCGAGTCACTTTCGAGCTGGTCAGCTAATCAAATACCAGCTAAGATGGGCGAAGATGGGAGCTCCACCTTACATTTTGGCCATTATTTCCGGTTACCGTATCCCATTTGTCAAAAAGCCTCCACTCTTTACACCAGACATAAGAAGTTCCCGCCATGCGACTCCAGTTTCTACGCAAATGACACAAATTATACAAAAGATGATTGCCGAAAACGTTTTATCTGTGGTACAACCGTCACCCAGCTTCCTGTCACGTATGTTTCTGGTACCAAAAGGAGACGGGACAATGAGGCCCATATTCAATCTCAAAACGCTAAATCAGTATGTTCTGGCAACGCCATTCAATCTGATAAACATTCACAAAATACCAGGGTTCCTACAGCCGAACGACTGGCTAGTGAAAATAGATATTTCACAAGCCTATTTTCACCTACGGATCCGCAGAGCACACAGGCGCTTTCTACGCCTCTTGTATCAACAGAAAATTATGGAAATGAACTGCCTGCCCTTCGGGTTGAGTTCCGCCCCGAAAACTTTCGCAGCCCTGAGCAATTGGATGGCTCAATTTCTGCGTCAAAAAGGGATACGTCTTATAGTATATTTGGACGACTATTTAATTGCCAACAGAGACGTATCAACCTTGAATCAGCATGTGACCCTAACGATAAAATTTCTATAGTATCTGGGATGGATGATAAATTACGACAAGTCGGCTTTGGTTCCCAGGAAGACTATAGAATACTTAGGCATTCTATGGGACCCATGGCTAAATCGAAAAATGCTTCCAAGAGAGAAACAAGTAAAATTATTTTCGTCAATAAGCAATGTGATAAGAAAACCAAAAACGAATATAAAAGAAATTCAAAGCCTTATTGGACAAATGAATTTTGCCAGTTTCATTATTCCGCTGGGCAGGCTAAATTATCGGCAGCTTCAGAAATTAGCAATAACATATCTAAGATGGGAAGTAAAGAGTTTCAAACTGAACAACGAATCACTAGCAGAACTTCAGTGGTGGCTTCAGCACCTTCGAGACTGCTCCGTAATTCACGAGCCTCTTCCGACCCACTACATGGTCACCGATGCTTCAGACCGAGGCTGGGGAGCGAGGATAAACAGTGTAAATCTGTCCGGAGTATGGTCAAAAACAGAAGAGAAATTGCATTGCAATCACAAAGAATTACTAGCCATACTCAGATCCTTCGAAGAGTACAGTCCGAGCCTGCGTTACGCATCTGTTCTTTTACAATGCGACAACAAAACCGCTGTTGCTTACTTACGCAACGAGGGCGGAACGAAATCACAAACCCTTCTGGATCTGACGTACAAAATATTTCATCTTTTACACAATCTGGAAATAAGCCTGACGATCCATCGTATTCCCGGCATATACAACGCGGAGGCAGATCGGCTGTCACGACGACGTACCCATCCGGAGTGGCATCTTCTACCTCAAGGGACTTCACCCGTGTTTGCACGATGGGGGACCCCTGTAATCGACCTGTTTGCGTCGAATCTCACACGCGTAGTAAAGAGATACTGCTCACTGGATTGCCGGGACGAACAAGCGGAATTTCACAATGCATTATCCCAAATATGGACTTATCCGTTGGCATGGGTGTTCCCTCCTCCGTTTTTGATACCCAAAATTTTACAACATCTGCATCAATGCCAGGGTATATTCCTCATTGTTGCACCAAAATGGGAAAAGGTATTTTGGAGGGCCGATCTAAAAAGTCGAGCGATATCAGCTCCTTGGACAATACGGAACCTTCCACAAGTGTTGATAGACACATCAACAGGCCTTCCTCCCCAGAATGTATCGAAGATGGTACTGGAGATATGGAAATGTGGGGGTGGAATGAACAATTAAAGGGATGGTCACCCGAACAAAGAAAGCTTTTAATGGATAGTTGGCGACCTTCGACTCTAAAGTCTTATAAAACTGCATGGTCACGATGGGTAAAATGGGCTAAGGATAATAATGTAATTATTAACAAACCGACGGGATCGGATTTAGCACGATTTTTATGTGATTTACATTATAAGGAAAAGTTTTCTTATAGCACCATTCTGTCACATAAATCCGTTGTGTCAACCTTATGTGACTTGGAATCATCAGAGCGTCTGAGTAGCCATCCACTAGTGAAACGAATGTTGAAATCCATTTCACTATCAAAACCTTCACCATCAAAACCACCGATTTGGGATATTGAGATAGTTTTCAATCATATCTCCACGATAGACGCTGACACAGAATGTTTATATGAAATATCTAAAATTACTGCTGCTATTCTTTTATTGTACTCTGGAAGACGGATACATGATTTAACTTTATTACGAATCAATTCTAATGATTGTGTCTTATCAAATGATTATGTTATTTTGTGGCCAGCATTCGGCTCAAAAACGGACTCTATTAATTATCGCCAGTCGGGTTGGAGATTAAATATTAACAAAAATAATAAAAATTTAGATCCTGTTCATTGGATAAACCGATTAGTCATGATTGGGCGTGATAGAAGAAAATCTTCTAATAGCGAAAATCTGTTTATTTCAACCTGTGGTAAGCCTAGACCTGCCACTAAATCTATAATTGGTGGTTGGATGAAGAATCTCCTTAAAGAAGCGGGTGTCATGGCATCGGCTGGTAGTTTTAGAGCCGCTGTAGCCTCTAAAAGTTGGCTCGAAAATAGCCCCATCGAAGATATTCTTGCTCGAGGCAATTGGAAATCAGAAAAAACTTTTAAGCGGTTCTATTGCCGACAAATTCTTCCTAGAACAAGAATTTCTGAACACTCAATACAAAATTTGTTTACGCCAGTAACAACATGAGTGATTTATTATTATTAATAATTTGTTATTATTAATTCATATTATTGATTATTAATTCTGATAAGAATCGAGAAGCAATTTATAATATGTTCAGTATGAAGATGATTACATTTTGTTGTATTAATACCTTTTTCAGAATAAAATTTATTATTTGTAATATACATTCTTTAACTTTTTACTAATGTTATTCCCTGTAGTCACATTACGTCGACCACCACCACCAGGCGATAACAAACACGTCTCATATATATATAATTAGGCTTCGAATAACGGTACAGTTGTTTAATAACGACGTTTTACCTACAAATAAAACGTATATTAAACATACTTACCTTATTCGAAGCCTAATACTTTAATACTGCCTGGTGGCAAACAACAGACGTAATGACGAGCAAAGTCAGCGCCATTATATTGTTAACTCGGATGGCGCCACTTGGTGGTGGTGGTGGAATTGAAAGAAAGGGAGAGAAAAGGATAAAACAAAGGAAAAAAGAGATAAAACATGGAACGGAAGCGATGGCATATCTCATATATATATAATTAGGCTTCGAATAAGGTAAGTATGTTTAATATACGTTTTATTTGTAGGTAAAACGTCGTTATTAAATATTTTACAAGATAACTCATAAATGCAAGTAATGAAGTCAACAAAAAGAGATCCTACGTAGTTTCTCATCATATCTGTGAGATTTTAATGTAATCTTTGTAGACTATAATATATTTATCATTATATTCCGTTCAGGTCCAACTGTTAGTGTCTGACGCGGACGTGAAGTCCTACAAACAGATCAAGGCCGACCTGGACATACTGAGACAGAGCGTTGAGAAGTCGGAGCTGTGGGTGTTCAATAAGGGACGCGCCGGGATTATAGATGATCACAGCGGTGAGAATTTAATATAGTTATCAAATTAATAAATTCAAAATTTCAACTTTTTCGAATTGTCCTGCATATACCGGCAAAAATTATTCCATATACATATATTATCTGCAGTTCTAAGATATTTTTTAAATTTTCTATACCTAAAACATAACATAAAAAACAAACATTCATTCATACATCATGAAATAGTGGTATCTACATACTTAGGACTGTATAACTTGTAGATAATTATTAGGATCACCTATAGATGATGAAAGAATATTGTTCAAAAAATATATAAATATTATTAAACATATATAAATCAATACTTTTCTAGATATAAAAGGCGCCGTTGGTCCTGGCGGGGCGGTGTTGGAGCGAAACGCGTCCTTAGACAACGTGCGAGCACCGAGAGGAGATCGACAGGACTACGATAAGATTAAAGAGGTACAAAATAAATATTGCATTTATATCAATCTTCTACCCGGCAATTTCCCAGCTTTTAGCCAGGGTCTGCCTTACATGTTGTGAATAGTTTTGGCTAATTGTTCTTACGACCGGCCGCCTGCCTGACATCAACTCTATTTTGGGAATGCATAAATCAGTGATGTCTAAATACTCTTAGAAAGTATATATGACTCGGAAAAATCACATTGGTACTTGCCAGGATCGAACCCGCGCCTTCGTGCACGAGAGGCGGACCCTTTAACCACTGAGCCACCACTGACTTATGTATGTGTATGTATGTATTTATATATATCACAAATGTAAAACAGTATTCTCAAGGGTGGCAGGTTTCATTACTAGTCACGTCAATAATTAATAGTTCTTTCTATTTGGACTTCAATACAAGTCTTAGCTCCTTGCTGTAATAATAAAACCAATAGTACTAAATACTAAAATGCTGAAGTGCAGGAAAAGTAAATGTTACTGCTTTTTTAAGTTTTTTCTTTATCTTCTCACTTAAAAGCCATTGTTGCTTTTACAAAACTGTTTCCGGAAATATGCTATACCTACACTCATGATATAGGTGTAAATCATTTAAGATCTACGTTTATTTTCTACAAAGCAAAAAAAGGAAAGAATAATTTTCTGCTGTATGTTATAAATATATTCTGTAATCAATTATTTCCAGGTGCCACACGATGAGTACGACGCTGCTATGGACGAGCTGCTGGGCCTGGCGCACGAGTTCCTGCAGCACTTCTGTCACGGGAACATACAGAACCAGGCCATACTACACAAACACCTGGATCTGTTCCTCAACGCTGGAGTAAGAACAGGCTATTGAATATAAACAATTGTAGTGTTATTTTGTTAAATATCGTATTTTATTATAATTATTATTACAATTAGTTGGTATTTTTTACATATATGTCTAAGTTTTCAGTGTCTCATAAACCAATATTAGTTTTTCCGTACACTGGAATTCATCGTCGTTAACTCACAGTTACTTTGACATCTCAAGACATTTATATTTTACTAGAAGACCCAGCGAACTTCGTGTCGCTCTATAATAATCCAGAAATATCTGTTACGCTTTTTAATTTATATTTTTGGAGTTTATCTTTAAGCCATAAATCTCCGTGTTTTGAAGTGCGACAGAATGATTGACATATTACATAGTTAGTTGTAAAATCTAATGTCAAAAAACCGTTTGTATGGGAAATAAAAAAGCACAGTTTTTAGGGTTTTCCCGGAAATTAATAAAAAGTGCACAATCTAACAAATAAGTAACATATGCAAGGTAAATGTAACCTGATTATTATTATTATATATATACCATAGCGCTAAATTATTGTTTTACAATTATAGTATAGCCAGCGATCAAAGCATCAAAACGATAGTTTTATTCAGACAACTTTTTACATCAGGTCCGCGAAGCCCAGACGGTGTGCTCGATATTCGAAGAGAACGCAGCTCTGTGCGCTCACGAAGGGAACGAGAAGGTCGCCGCGCACTTCGTACACTGCATCGAATCCCGCGGACGGAGGCCCGCCTGCCTCAAGTTTCTGAGAACTATAGTACGAGCGGGACCTCACCATATACGGAGGAGCCAGGACCTGGTCATGCAAGAAGTAAGTTCCTCTCCCTTCACCCATCATAGCATGCATGGTTTTAAGAGACGAAACCTTTTAAAATTCCATGATTTCCCGTGGTGAGAGGAGCTTCAATAGCTCTTAGGACTTGTGACCCAGGAGTAGGTTTAAGAGGTCCCTATCTAACGCGCATTAAACGCTCACCTCCATTTTTAAAGCTCCTCTATCAAATATTACCTAACATAAAATTCTATTTTCAGTAAAATAGTTATGTTATATCACATGCTTATGTCGTCAATGTATTATGTAAACACGATTTTTTCTCTGTTGTTCAATAATAAATCTATCTTCGTTAGTAAATATCTATTCTATCATTTGAGTTCATGAATGGAAACTCGGAAACGCTCAGTATTTAGTTAAACGACGCATACTTGTACTAAGGTACATATAATACATATATTTAATCGTACTTCATGTTTCATTATAGATGCTGAATGCCGGCGAGGACGTGCTGGTGTTCTACAATGATAAAGTACTCTTCAACTACTTCATCAAAATGATGAGGGAGTACAAACAGACGGGAGAGATGCCTGAAGCTCTCACGTAATATATATCCCATTATATGATCATTTCAAAATTTATATTCTTGCTCTGGCATTTAATAAGGATTTAAAATAATTATGCATTAATTACGAAAAGTGTGAAAACAAAATTAACCAACCCAATTTTCATTACTTTAATGGTCGAATTTGTATACATTATTAAGGTACAACAGCGTAAGATATATATGCAAGAAAGGTTTATCGATAGCTTCTTTGACAATCTAATATAAATATGCACTTAATATTACATATAATTAATAATATTTATGTATATATTTCTTGCAGGTACCACATAGACCTCAAAAAGCTGTTAACATGCTGTACCCTCGGGAAGAACGTGTACACGGAGATCAAGTGTCACAGTCTGCTGCCACTAGACGACATAGTGGCCATGATCACACACCCTGACTGTATACCAGAGGTCAATCACACTTATACATATGTAACATACATCCATGTAGCTGAAATCGTGGTAGTAATTAATACTATCGCAACTTAGTCACAAAAATATTAATCAAGACCGAATGTTGGATAATTATTTATTGAAATATCAAATTGAATTAATTTTATTATTTAACTCAATTGGCTTGCACAAACTAAGCTTAATATTATAAAATGAATGAGAATGCTAAGAAGTTATTGTAAATAATATGTATATGATATCAATAGGGCCCGGATTAATATTTAAATACATATTTTTAATTTACGCGATTTTTGGTCAAGTATGTGTTTTTACATGGATTGTCATATTTAGACTGAACAACCAACTTTTATTTTCCATATTTTACCACATTTCACAATCATCCATATATTCACAAAATACATGAAATTTTACGTTCCCGCCACTAATGTTTTGGATAAAAGTAAAGGATTTTAGACGCTAAAAAATTAACAAAATTCTGTGCGAAAGTTCCGAGTTTAATTATGAAAGTATTTAATTTTATACTGCATATTTAATCCATATTTTTGATTTTTTTCGTCCATATTTTATGTACATATTTTAGATTTTTTAATACATACTTATCCGGGCCCTAGTTATGATACATATGTAATTGTATTATTCTTAAATTATTTCTGTATTTTTATGACAATTATAATTTATTCTTTTGCTATTTCTAAATAAAAAATATTAAATAAACATATCTTTCTTTATCTTTTTTTTACAGATTATAATATGGGTTAAGAAAATGAAACAACCAATTAAATATGAGACATAGCGTTTTTATTCAATAATCAATAATATTTTTGTTTATCGATAGAATATTTAGCATTAATAATATATACAAGGAAACAATAGCAACTAAATAGATCTTAAAACTTAATACAGCGATGATTCATTTAAAATTATGTAATATTATAATCAAGCACACATATATCTTAATCAATTTTAACTATTTAATTTATCCTAGCGTTCTTGGCTCTAACGCCAGCGAATGTTCAAGCTTGTTATTCTAACAATTCTAGGTCTTACGTGCTTCAGTCTCAAACCTTTTTTTATTACATTCCTCATGATACCATTCTTTATACATACATTTATATATATCTGAAAAACGATGTGAGCAAGCGTTGCCGTACATAGTATTTCGACGATCAAATCAACTTAATTTTATCTAAACATAAAACGTATATAAAATTATAATGTGTTAGTTTTTAATGAAGGTTCATTTAAAAATATTTATATTTTAAATGGTATTAATTTAGATTGATTTTATACTGTCCGTCAGTGATACTGGACGTGAAAACCAATATATAATAATACATTTTGTACCTATCTATCTAATTTTATCAGAAGTTGTGCAAATATCGAAACCAATTTTTATTGACCCATAAAAAGACGAGCCAACATATTTCTTCATAGCGAGAATGTTAGTTTCATTAACCGATCATTATGCTTCTAATATAACAATATCAAAACTGTTAGTATCAGATACTCATAAAATAAACAACTGATAAAAATAAAAACTAAAAAAAGTTTAAAAAAAACTAAAAAACACGCTCCAATGATGAAAGAACCCGCGTGGAAACTTATTTAACCTTTACAATCTTGGAAATCAATTTAATTTAAATTGTTTAAAATAAACAATAAATGGTATTATTGAAAAAAAAGCGTGGGGCGCTTCTCAAGAAGTGATATATGAAGCTCATCACGTTTTTTTCACAAAAATACCATTTATTGTTTGTTAATTTATTTTTAAATTAATATTATTGTGAAAAAAATGTGGGGCGCTTCTTAAGAACTGATATATACAGGGTGACTGGTGAATTACTATCGATACTTGAGGACGTGATATTTGACGATCATATATGACAAAATAAAAATTAATATAACATAAATATTAAAAACTTCTAAGTAAAGTTAACCAAAAGTTATGTAATTAATTACGCATCGTGTGAACACCCTACAGATTAGGTATACACACACACACACACACGTGCGGTGGCGTGGTGTTGTATCAGCACGCCGCCGCACGCGTCCACACTTGGAACGTGTCCACACTTTATTTTTTTATACGGAAATTTGGTCAAAAATTAAGTGCCTATTTTTTTTACATAATTCGAATGAGAATCATGTACCGAGTATTCTCCTTAAATATTGATAGTAATGTAAAAATATTGTCATGTATTCATAATGCACACTGTATAACTTAATTAAATATTGCTTACCTAAAAAATCAGGTTTCTATTGTTTAGGTACGATTTCTTGAAAAAAAGTATTGAAATCTCACCAAAAACATGCCTGTTAAAAAGGGGGCCAAGTACCAATCGGCTAATTGTTTGCCTAAAAAAGGGTTGAAATCCAATCTAATGCCAAGTTTAGATGCACTTTGAAATCATAATCATTTTAATCAACAGAATGATCCACTGGTAAACATTTGCCATTCCCAAGACTCGCCACCACACCCAGTCCTCTGCCTTCCACATCCAGCCACTACCCGCCACCTTATTCACGTCAACGGTCCATCTGACCGAAATTCACTTTACCATACACCCAACTTAAAATATGGTATAGTTGTGAAAATACGTAGGTGCTTGGTTAAAAATATCTAAAATTATAATACTTCTAATTTGAACTTGGCAGGTTAATTTAATTATTTAAATTATATAAATAATTATATAATATTTAATTAATAATATGCAATAATTTTGTGACCATAGTTAATTATTTTTAGCTAATACAAAATTAAATTTCTACAAAATAAAGACAATGACACATTCTTTGTAGTGATGAATAAATCTCAAAATGGTGGTAAGTCACCCCCTATTAACACTGATATAGAGGTTGGTGATTATGATGGGGTCACGAGGAACGAAAAAGTGACTAATAATGGAGTATCACAGGTGTTGTTCGGTGAAATATTGCTCTCGGGAACGCCATACCTAGAAACGACTAATGTTGTTCATCCAACAGGCAAGTATTAACTGATCAAATATAAATTGCTTTAGAACTAGTCTACTAGTTGTCGCTTTAATTTTATACTATATTCTATTTAAATGAATAAATTTTCACTGGTATAGGATATGGTAAAGAATGTCAACTAGATTGTAAAGCTTCGAGAAATGAAAGATGCCAGAGGATCGATAGTGTTATGAAGTGCGTGTGTAGACCAGGTTTCGCTAGAATGTTCCCAGATCGACCGTGTAAACGTAAG